GTGTCGTGTCGGTCACTCGCTCGCCCCGGGAGGGGTTCGGCTCGTTGCCCCTTGCCTCCTAGCGACTGACGCAGGAGGAAAGACGGGTTCCGACACCCACACGCCCGGGGAGGGGGCCCCTTATACACAAGCTCCTGGGCGGGGGGAGAGGCAGGCACACAACCCCTGGGAACACTCACACCAGCCTTACCCCCGACCACTCGGGCACACACACACTCACACACCCCAGCCCACCCAGACCAAACTCGCTCCCGAATGATACATGGAGGGAAAGCAAAGGCGCTCTGCACGATCCCAGGTTGGCGACATCCGACGCGCTCCCGAGGAGAACCCTTGCTAACGTGTCATGACCACTTGGGTGAGGAGTTAGGAATGTAAAGCCAGTCCTTGGGGGCTGGAGGCGGGTTGGGGCGTTATCAGAGTCAGACCGGCCAAGGTTTCCGAATCGTGATACTACTTTGCTTCCAACTGAGTATATAAAAGAGGCAAGATGAGAATTTTAAGTGCTGACCTAGTCGTAGTGGAGGGATTTTGTAGTTGTTTCTTTTTAAGTGATGACACATCCCGTGACCACGGTTCTTTTGAGGAATGACTTTTCTGCTAGTTTCCAAATTGTCACGTGACCACAGTCTTTTTATAGGCTTTCAGCGTCGCGATGAATCCAATAGACAGAATTCGATTGCTTTTTTAAAATTAAAAAAACAATTTTTTTTCTTTTACTTGTCTGTCTTTCAGTCTTTGGCACCACGGTTATGGAAAATCCCTAAATGGCCTGTAATTTCGGAAACCGGTCAGTGGAGCAAAACTAGAAATGAAGGCAAACCAGAACTCTTCAGTCAGGGACCTTTAACGAAACTTCTTAGGGTCTCTTTTAGAAGCTTATGTTGAAATTCTCACTACTTGTCTAGTACTGTCGATATCTTATTTAGATTCTCAAATCTAAGACAGCAGTGTGGGTGGCAGTCTGATGTTTTCAGTATTTTTGTGAAGATATTTTAGTAAATTCTTCTTGGTTATACTAAAAACTTTCTGGCCTGATGACTTATTTTGGAGAGTTTTGTAATGCGAGCGTACTTTTGGTTTATCATTTGTGAGGTTAGAGTGGATCGATGAAAACTGAGTAGACATCTTTGGCAAGCTGGGTTCTTGGAGATTAGGGAAATACTTTAGTACTCCTCCTTCTTTCCCAACCTCCCTCTTTCCCAACTCTTTTATCTCTTTTTATTTTTTTCTATCTCAGTCACATCTTCCATCTAGGCTACAGTACTTTGGAGGCCTGAAGCTAAAAGTTCTTTTGTTTTTAGAAGTTAGTTTTTAGCCTCCCTCATTTCTTACCATATCTTGGGGCTGATACTCTGGCACTGGATGTTCTGTGTGTGTGAATCCTGTACTCGCATCATTTTATTTAATTTTCACAGCATTTTGTAGCTTCAGCTCCGTTTTACAGATAAGGAATTTGCTGGGGCATAGGAGAGTTAGGCCTGTTTCCCATGGTCACACAGAGCACAGCCAGGCTTCAAAGCAGGCCTGTGTGAGTGGTAGTTCTCAACTGGAGGCTTTCGATAATGTCTGCAGGTATTTTTGGTTCACACCTGAGAGAGAGTGCAGCTGGCATCTAGTGGATAGAGGCCAGGGATGCTTCTCAACATCTTTTAAGGCACAGGACAGCCCCCCACAACAAAGAGTTGTCTGGCGCAAAATGTCACAAGGGGTTTGAGAAACTCTGCTTTCCCGTGGTCTGTGTGACTTCAGAGCTCATGGTCCAGCGCTTCTGTAGCTAATGGAATGTCGTTTTCCTCTTTAGGATACCTCCTCCTCATTATTTTAAGGGTGAGGGAAATTTGAGAACTTGGAGATTTCCCTTGACTAAGAGACATATTCATTTAAAAGAGTAAGGAGTAAGCAAATAATTTCTGATAACAGAATTTTATTTTATTTTTTTAGGCAAAAGTGTCTGAAAGAACATGTGAGCTATTCCAATCTGTTGAAGCAGACTTAACGAGTTTGCTTTCTGTATTATTCCAGTTGTTAACAAACACTTTCCAAGTAGCCTGTCAGCACTGTTACAAAGGTGCAAGGCGCTGGTGGTGTGAAGGGCAGTAGGGAGCTTACAGGCTAATTACAATCATAAGATCAGGTTCTGACTTTGTCCTAGAACAAAATTTATTGTCCGGTTGGGGGCCAGGTGTCAAAAAAAAAAAAAAAACAGGTGCACACTCACACACAGGTACCTATAACATGGCATTTACTCTGGGCAGACTTAGGTGAAATGAGGAAAAGTTGATGTGTTTTTGATGGCTTTGTAGGTTGACCGCATGTGAATATTTATAACAATCCAATCCAGTAGCCATTCTTGTTGAGCATAAAATTCTTCCTTAAATTTAGTCCTAGTAGACAATAGTTACGCATGAATTTTATCATTGAAGTCAGGAAATAAAGAATGACGTTTTTAAAAAAATGGACTTTTATGTCATATTCCAGCCTGTTTTCACCATGTCTATCTAAGACTAGGCCCTTCAGCATATGTACTGCGTCATTACAGTGGCAGGTGTAACTTCTAGGTGAACTTTGGGAGTAATTGATTGAGAGGAGGAGTCAAAAGGGTCGCCTCTCTTTTTAGGAATCTTTGCCAAAGTGTTATTCAGTGCAGTCTACATGGCATCTTTTGCAGGGAGCTTTGCTTTTTGACTCATGCTGATGGACAGCATGTTCTTTGCTAATTAGGAGGTTTCTGTGCCTCTTATCAGGAATCATCTGCTGTTGGGTAGAGGCGATGCTGATGATTGCTATGGCTTGGGCTCTAACAAAGGAATGTGTGTTCTTTTCTTGCGGGAGGGATTGTATTCTGCAAAGGATCAAGAGCAATCAGTGCAGGAAGAACATCTCCTGGCTTGGAGGAGTCTTGCTCCATCTGTACTTGGCTTACTACTCTGGCTAAGTTAGGTCACCACATTTCTTTCTTTGTAAAATGAGACAGTTGTACTTTATAATCTCTCTGAGATTATATGACATCAATTTATTGGCTTCCAAGTAGTTCTGCCCCACGCGATTTGCTGGTTAAGTGGCAGGAAGAAATAAGCCAAATAGAAGTGTGTGTGAATGTGGATGTGTGGTGTGAGTGCAACACATCTCACTTGAAAGCTAGCTAGGTGATAAATTTGTTAGTCCAAACCAAGGACAAGAAAATAGGGCTTGTGACTAAGTAGATTATTAACAGAGAACACTTATTAAGGATTTTTTGGGCGGAAGGGTGCGCCCACAAAATGCCTCGGGGAGTTTGGAAAACTGTGGTGCAAATGAAAGGTCAGGATACCTGAGAGGGGGACCTGGGAGACTCAGGTGGGTGGGTGGAGGGAGTCCTTGCTGCCTCGGGCTGGGTAGGTGGGTTTGGAGGTAGGTCCAGGGCCATGGGTTCCTGGGTTTGTTAGCTAACTCGGAGGAAAAATCTGTTCTCCAAAATGAATCTGGTAATTGTACATGTCGTGAAGTTAAGCCCTGAGTATTCCACCTTCTGGATTCTTCCATTAGTTTTTGTTAATTTTTGACCATGATGGGTACAGGGTTTGGAATGCTGTTGCTTATCATGAATGCGGCGTGGGCGACTACAGGTAAGTGCACGTAAGTAAGGTGACAGCTAGGTCAGCATGGGGTGGAGAGAGACGGGTGTGTTTTGGAAGAAATGTAGAAGTGAAGCAGTCGAGGCTTCACTGAACCTGGCTCATGTCATCGTGGGGAGTCTGGACACAGACTTCACTTTTGTCCCAGGCCCGAAGCCTTACCAATGTGTGCTATTGTTTGACAGGGTTGGAGAAACAGCATGGCACAACTTGATACCTTCATTCCACGGCCATGTTCATTATCCAGGTGTGAAGGATAGCAGGGCAGTGTAAACTAACAAACCGAACTGTTCAGTGTAAACTGAACTAATTGTTTTCATTCCAAAATCTTGTGCATCGTGTTTAGTTTTGGGGTACAGAGGCTAAGGCAGTTTTCAGAACATTAGTTCTCCTAAGAGTTGTTGTGTTGTCAGTGTGAGAAAAGCTTGAAAAAGGCCTCACAGATTTCTGCTTCTAGAACTTGCTATGCAGAACTCTAACAAACAGGAGTGTTTAAATAATTTAACAGGCTCAAAAAAGTCAGCGCTCACTGGGCTACGAGTACTGTGAGACAACTGCTGCAGTCTGCAGCTTCATGCAGGTATAGAGCGGCGATCAGATGGCCGTGCCTAAAAATGCATACGTGGTTTAGTTGGAAGTCAGAACAGAACAACAGAAGCGCTTGAGAACCACATGCCGGTGGATGCAGAGCATTCTCTGGAACGAGGTCCAGTCCTCTTGAATAAAATTTCATAGATAGTTGTTTTGGAGCAAACAGCTGCCACCCTCATATCCTGTTCCACATTAATATTTGTGCAGTACTTGATATTTTATCACGTAGCCCTGGAAAACCAGCTTTGCAGAGGTATGATGTCATCGAAAGGAATGTGGTGCGATCCAGTGTTGAAATTGTGAACTCCCTCGAGTGCCAGTGTGCATGCTGTCCTGCAGATGGCCAGGACCTCTGTGGTTCCCTCAGAAATTTAAAACAGCTTGTTCTGCCCCGCTTCCTCTGCAGCCGGACCCTTGATTCCCCTTGCCCTCCTTGTCCTCAGGGTTTCATCTCCATTTTCTGCTGCTCACACTTCTTTAGGAAGAAGATCTAGTGGAGTAAGGGCCACTGGATGCAGAGGGGCGGTCATGGGGTCTCCAGCGTTTCAGAAACCCTTGGCGCGCTCAGCCCAGCTGGCCTGTTCTTGATAAGTGTCAAGACGTGGGTTGGGTTTCCTCGTCTCTTCAATTTGTCACCTGTGGACCATTTGTTTTCCATCTTCTCAATTTCATTGTTGTTTCTCACTTATAGTTGTTCCCTCTTGTTGTCCTTTTTGGGTTTGTACATTTTTTAGTTCTTTCTGTCATTTGGTGGGAGGGAAGGTGACACATATGTGACTTGCCCTGTTTAATTAGACCGGCGGCAGTTATTTAATTTTTGTGAACTTGAGTTTATTGACTTCTAAAACGTGGGTGATAGTGTCCAACTTGAAGGCAGTTTGAAGGTGCTATATGCCAGGCATCTAGTAGATATTTAGTAAACAGTGGCGACTCATGTTTTCCCGGTCATAGCATTTGTTATTTGAGCTAACATGACGACAGCAGTAGGTAGGGAGGGAAATGGACATGTTTCTTGTGTGGATGAATGCAGTGGGTAAGACAGAAGAAGAAAGAGATTTTGGAAACGGAGAAAATAATTAGCTTGGTTTTAGATATGTTGAATTTGAACTGCCATCAGAGTACCAGATGAACATCTTATAAAAGGATTGGAATTTTCGTCTGGCCCCGAGGGTTACGAGGGTGGAGGTGGACTTTAGTTTAGAAAGCACTGGGTTTTTTATATTCCCAGGAAGATGGGTTTGAGAAGAGGTAAGGCCTTCGACCTTGCCGTATACCAGCTTTCAGAGCTTGTTAGAAAAGGGAGTCACCTAGGTTGCAGAAAGCTAAGGGGTGAAAGGGAGAGAAAGCGGAACCTATTCTCAGGGTAGTTTTGTGGACCATTAAGTAGAAAGCATTTTCAAGGTCACTGCCAGGCTGTGGCTGAGTCTTGGCTAAGACTCAAAGGTCTCACTTACTCCTCCAGCTAGAGGACTGATACTTTGCAAGATCCTTGCACATTTGGACCTCCATTACCTTATTTGTCTAAAAAAAATGCCAGAGTACCCTTCTGAGATTTTAATGACATGTACATCTAGACAAATGGCTACATCTGAAAGAATTCATTGTCTCTTAGGTGGGCCTCTGAGTGGGGGGACACTGATTAACCATGAGGGTGTTTTCTAAAAGTGTACACCGTGAAGTCCTAAGAGAAACACTTTTCTCTTTTTTCACTTTAGGGGTACACATGCCTTAGGGCATTTAGGCGAGGACTGAGGAGAAGCCCTTGGATTGGCCATTAGGAGGCGTCTGGTGACTTCTGCATATATACAGCGTGGAGACGAAGTTGGGATCCTGTGTGTGGTGAGCAGAGTGGAAGGTTGATCAGGCATAGAGGTGGAATGGGTCGTGATGCAGAATAAGTTTAGGCTTGGAAAGTTTTTTGTAAGCAAAGTCAGTCATTACCTTGCTGTAATGGGCATCGTTGATGGAGAAGTGGGATGATGTGAACTTTCTGGAAAGCTACCTGTAGCACTCCGAACGTTTCTTCTCATTTTGACCTGGTGACCCCTTCCTGCAGAATGTGAGCCTCTGATCTAGCTGAGTCCTCTTTGCCAGACATGTCGCCGTCCTCTTGAAATATATCTTCTTGGGAAATTTCCACTCTTACTTAATTTCTCTAACAGCCAAGAAGTTCCACTTTGCTGTGGCTTCATGTCTTGTGGGCAGTGTTTGTATACTAACTCTTCCTTGAGTTTATTTGGAAGTTCTCCGGCCCTTACCCTTTTCTGCTCCAAAACAAAGACTCCTGGTTTCTAGTTTAACTTGTGCATACTCAGAACCAATATTCCCTGAAGTTACAGCAGATCACTGCAGATCATAATTTATGTTTAGCTGCTTTAATATATTTTTCTAACATGCATATTCAAATTCATTTCTTTTATAATGCATTCTTCCTGAAATACCCAGCCATAATTTCCAGTACTTTATCTGTTTCTTTGCATTTTAATTCTGTCCCCCAAAGTGCAACCTTAAACTGTTCCCACTCTTTATCGTCAAGCATTTTAAGTGCCTTTTACGGGTAAGTATCTTATTATAGGTAAATTTATTTATGCTTGTTCCTTTTAAGGACCAAATTAAACACAACCAAAGAACCAAACGTTACCCTCACTTACAGAATTAGTGGTTTTCTGTGAGTCTGTTCACTGAACCATCACAGTTCATGGTCAAAGTGTAATAATAAAGTCTGACGAGTGAGGGAGAGAACGAGAAATAGCGATGCGAAGTGAAGATGAAAGCCTTGAGAGTGTTATGAGCTACACAAGTGGATTGCACATAATATACGAATGATGCAGACATGTATTTATCATTTCTTGAGGTCCAGATTCCTTTAAGAATCCGATGAAACCTTTTTTATTCTTTCCAGAAAAAGCTCAGCACACGTGCTTCCATCCATACACTCATCCTTATTTCACATGTGATTCTAGGAGGTGTATTTTCCCCTGCAGCTCCTTCGTGGACTCCCAGTGAAGCACACTATATGTACACTGTCCAATACAGCACTCATGTAACAATTTAAATTTACAGTAATTAAAATTAAATAAAATTTTAAAATGCAGTTGCTCATTTTAAAATTTTAAAATGCAGGTGCTCAGTAGCAACGTGTGATTAATACTACTGTATCTGACAGCACACGTGTAGAACACCTTCATCATTGCAGAAATGTCTGGTTTAAGAAGATTTAGTTTCTTTAGCAATTCTGTTTTTTCCTTCTCTCTTTTCTCTTCCCACTCTCTCCACAGTGGTTAATGATTAGTTAGTATACTACAGAGATGTCTCGTTTTAAGCAAAATTGTGAGTATATGTTTTTTAGAAGTTTAATTAAATGAATGATCTTCAAAAAAGTCCTTATTGCAATGAGTTTTTAAAATAGGCCTAGCTGCTCTGAGATCGTGATAATGTGGTTTGATTATACTTTTCCTTCTCTAGCTATCTCTGTGAGTTAATGCTCAGGGGTCGATTCGGTAATTTATTTCATCTGGCAAATTGCACTCCAAGTTGGTCTATTCCCATGGTATTTTGCTTATTCTCCAGCTGAACCCTGTTTTTGGTCCACCTCTTGCTGTAGAAATAGCACCCATCACACTTAATGACTTTCTCAACTTGCTTCTTGTTCTTACATTTCAGCAAGACAACCAGGAAAACGAGAAACCGAGTGGGACTAATTAGGTTCAGTGAGACACACATTTAAGATAATATGAGGAAATAAATACAGCTCAAGGGAAAATAGAAATAATTAAGAGATTGTTCATGCTTTTGTTTTCCTTGGTTAGTTTCTTTGAGCCTGTTTCACAAGCTTTGAAATGAAATAAGTGGTATGTCTCTAGGATATTCAGGGTGAATGCAAAAGGAATGTATGATTTTGGAAAAAAAAATCTGTTCATAAATTAAACCAGGAATGATACATTCAATTTAAATGTTTGGAAGTGAGAACTAGTAAAGGGATTACAGAGCATGTGTTTCAAAGTCAGAAATTTTGAGAAAAGTAGTTTACAAACCCAGCCTTCTCTCCCTTTGACTGCTTCTTAGAGGAATGTTGTCATTTTTTTAATGTTCAGCAGCTTCCTGTTGCAGTCAATAGTTCTTATTTTAAAGTGGTTTTCTCATTAGACTTGCAAGTAAGAATCAATTTTTTTTTGTCTCTTTCCATACATTTTAATAGACCTCAAAAATAGAATGGGGGAAGGACTGATTGATTAGAGAAACAGAATTATAAGTACAGAAAGTACAAGTAGAAAAATAAGAATAGAATAAGAATAAAGGAGGAAGTAACTTACTTTGTTCTCAGTTTAGCACTTACTTGGTACCTCACCATATTTAAAACTTTGTACAAGATGTTGCAGAACAAAAGGGCAAATGAATGATGGCATTAGGTGTTTTGTGTCCCGCCTAGGGAACTGACATTGTAATTAGGAAACAGATACATGCACAACTGATAGATTAGAGCCCAAGTGAATGAGAGCTGTAATGGAGGTGGAAATGATGAGAAAGAAGGATTAGGGAGAGGAGCCTAGAAAGCTTCTTGGGTGAGGTGATTTCAATTAGACCTTTGGATAACTAAGATTTTTATAGCTGTCCAGGTGTAGAGATAGGCCTCCCAGGCCAAGATAAGGGCTTGAGCAAAGGCTGGACAGTAAATGCCTGTGATAGGTGTAGGGATGGTGACTTGTAGGGATATAATTGGGACAGGCTTATAAGCGAGGTTGGATAGTTCTGAATGCCATGCTCAGAATCCAGTAATATAAAAATAATGAAGAAATAAATGGATTTAGTTACCTGTAAGAATGGAAACAATGAGATCCATGACCAATAAAAAATGTCTACCTTTAATTAAACATTCCTGTTAGAGATGTATATTCTCCATGTTCGGGTCTGACTCCCCTTGGTTTATTGTAGTATATGGCTTTGAAAGTCAGCTAGGGGTTGCAGAAGGCCGGAGAAAAGGCTACTACTGATAAAACTATCCATAAACAATTGATAGTGCAAGATAAAAATCCACAATGGAAAAGTTGGAAAAATAGGATTATAAAAAAGAAAGGGTTGACATACAATACTCTCTTTTTATCTTTAGTTTTGAAGTATCTTCTGAAAACATGGTTCACTTTCTTTCCTGCTGGTGACCTCTACTTATCCAACTTCTCATTCAGATTAGTGTGTGCCATATACAACGTGTGTTGGTACCAGCATATGGTATTGTAATCCTAAAGTAGTACCTATTGTGCCTGTAACTGCTTTATTTAAGAAGATACTGCTGAAGGGACAAGGAGATTGTCGCTCTGTAAATCTAATTTTAGGGTCTTATTGTTAATAAGACCTTAGGCTGTGTGCGCGCAAAGTTGTGCAACCATCACCACTGGCTAATTCCAGAATATTTTCACCCCTTTCCCCAAAGAAACCCCATACTCATTAGCAGTCACTCTCTATTTACCTCTCTCCCTGCATTCCCTGGAACCAGAAATCTACTTTCTGTCTATGGATTTGCCCATTCTGAACATTTCATATAAATGGAATCATATAATACATGGCCTTTTGCGTTGTATATATCAGCACTTCATTCCTTTTCATGGCTGATTAATCTTCCATTGTATAGATATGCCACATTTTATTGTCCCTTATTAGTTGATGGACATTTGGGTTGTTTCCACTTTTGGGCTATGATGAATAATGCTGCTTTGAACATTCACGTATAAGTGTTTATGTGGATGTATTTCTCTTAGATATATGCCCAAGAGAGGAATTGCTGGGTGATATGACAACTCTGCGTTTATCTTTTTGAGGAACCACCAAGCTGATTTTCATTGTCACTGCACCATTTTACATTCCCATCAGCAGTATATGAGGGTTACAGTTTCTCCACAACTTCAGCACTTGTCATTGTCTTGATTCTAGCCATCTTAGTGGGTGTGAAGTAGTATCTTGTAGTTTTGATTTGCCTTTCCCTATTCGCTAATGATGCTGACCATTTTTGCCCTTTTTTAAATTGGGTTATTTGGTTTTTATTGATGAGTTGTAAGAGTTCTTTATACATCTGGATACAAGTCCCTTATCAGATATTTGGTTTGCCAGTATTTTCCCCCATTCAGTGTGTTGTCTTTTTACTTGCTTGATAACACAAAAGTTTCTAATTTTGATTTCAGTTTTTTTATTTCTTTTGGTGTCATACTGAGTTATTTTTAATATAATCAGTTATAGAAAAATTTAGGAAGCAATCGTCCTTGAGGTATGGCTGATAGCAGTATTTAAAAAAAATTTAAAAGATGATTTCCATTCCATTTAACTGCAGCATTCAGTCAAACTAGACTTAAACTGAAAATGAAGCTTTTGATTCATTTTTATATACTTTTGATATTAAAAAAAGTATGATTTTGCAATCAAATCAGAACTTTGAAGATCGAACTCGGTATTGATTATTCTAGGTTTTCTTGTGACTTTAATGTAAATCCGCAAGCTTTTACATGGTGTGATGATGGAGAGCATACTGTTTGGGTATCTTTCTGCAGTCCCATGTCTGCACGTCTCCTCGAGGTGTGCAGAACACTCCCCAGTTAGGCATTTAGGTCATTTCTAGAAATCCTTACTAGGCTTTGAAGGCCCTGCCTGCTTCAGGCCTCTCTCTCCAGTCCCACGTGCATAGAACTCTGTCTCTGGGCTCCAGGTGCATGGGTCTACCTGGGGGTCTACCTTGGGCTCTCCGGGTACATGCCAGGCTGCCTGGGCAGGGCCTTGGCTTGGGCTGGTCCCACTTCCGGGTTCCTGTTCCCTCCCCTCTTCTTAGTTTCCTCCTCCTGCTGAGTTTACCCTGTGGTCAGCTCATCCATCTGTAGTGGTGTCAGACCTTGGCGAGGCTCTGTTCCAAGGCCAGCATGCGGCTGCACGCGACTCACGGTCATTGAGACATTGCTTTAGAACAGCCCACACTGGAAGCTGGTGTATAGTCTCTCACTGACACTGTTGAACACAACCCACTTCTCCTCTGGCGTTGGAAGTCACCGCTTTTTCTTTAACTGAGTAGCCGGTAAAGTAGCTGGCTGTGTTACAGAATAATGTATGGAGTTTCAGTCCCTCTGATGGCTGAAATCACAGGGAGCTCTGTGAGATACCCTGAGATGCCCACACGGGGACCCTGATAGAGCCTCAGGTTTACACGTCTCATCTCTCATTCGCCAAGGGAGACGCTGGGCAGAATCCCTGCACTGTTTAAGTTCTTTGGTTTTGGGTTGAGTGTGAATAGTTTCATTCTGTACCTCTCATTTGTAAGACTCGCCACGGTTGTAACCTACATGGGTTTGTGTGTGGATTGTCACCTCCCCCAGATACCAGCTCCAGGAGACGGTGTGGCTCGCATCCTCAGCACCTGGCACACAATAGGCCCTCACTAAGTGTTGGCTGAAAAATTCCTTTCCACTCATTCCACTGAACGCTAGGCTTCCCCAACCTTTTGAGCACCAGAGACCAGTGCTCCTATAAGAATCTAAGGCCTGATCTGAGGCGGAGCTGAGGCAGTGATGCTGACGCTGGGGAGTGGCTGCAAATACGGATGAAGCCTCGCTTGCTTGCCCACTGTTCACCACCTGCTGCGTGGCTCCGTTCCTAACAGGCTGCAGATGTTCTTTATACTATATGTCAATGGATTGACTACTACTAGTTCTGTCAGGTTAACTTGTTTTTGTGCAGATCTTGAAATAAAGCGAGCAGTTGACTGTTACCATTGCAACTGCTTATACCTGCAACAGCAACAGGAAAACACTAAAAAATAAGTGCAAAGGCAGCTGAGCCTAGTGGGTTAGTGCTGGGCTTTAGAGTCGTGAGTCAGCTGCATTCAGATCTCATTTTTTACTGTGTGCTCAGCCGAGGTATGTAACCTTTCTGAGTCAGTGTGCTCATCTGGAGTATAGGGGTAAAGAGACTTGTGAGGAGTGAATGCAGCGAAGCAGAGTAAATGGCTTACATGGCTTAGTCAATATTAGCGTTGTTGTTGTTACAGCCATACCTCGTTTTATCGCGTGTTGATTTATCATACTTTGCAGATATTGCTTTTTTTTTTAAACAAATTGAAGGTTTGTGGCAACCACCAGCATAAAGATTATGGCTCGCCAAAGGCTCAGATGATGGCTAGCATTTTTTAGGAATAAAGTATTTTTTAATTAAGGCACGTACATTGTTTTTTAGACATGCTATTGCACACTTAATAGATTATAGTGTAAACCTCTTATATAAACTGGGAAACCAAAAAATTCATGTGACTTGCTCTGTTGTGATATTTGCTTTATTGCAGTGGTCTGGAACTGGACCCCCGATATCTCTGAGGTATGCCGGTCATTACTGTTTTATCTTTAACTCTAAAATTTCGAAGTTTTGAAGAGTCTCCTTTGTTTTCAAATATTGAACTTATAAGTTAAGGACTGCTATATGTTGAGTCCCACAAAAATGCCCTTTGCTTTTAAGGGGGAGAAGGGATTGAAACTGTTGGTTTAGACCCAGAGAGGCTGGTACTTTAGCACAGCTCCGCATTCATTACTGGGAAACCATCACATTGATTTGGTCTCTAAGGCTAGGATCCTTTGGCTTCTTAATGTCTGCCTAATCCTCTCAGTTGTTCTGCCCATAACTCTTACTGAAATTTGAAGAAATGGCCATAAATGAAATCTTTTTGTAAAACTGCCAGTAAAGACTTCTTCATATATTCATTCCACAGAAACTTCCTGCACTCCGGTCATGAGCCTGGCACAGTGGTGAACTGCTTTAAGAGCACTAGAGGTAGGTACTGTTGTCACCACTGTCCTCATGAGCTTCAGGATGTCAAGTAGCTTGTCTATAGGTCTGCGTTCATGGCCTTTGGCACCAGGAACCAGTTCTTTTTGACAGTAGGCTTTTATTTGGCCACAGGAAAGATTTCACCTTGGCCGCCCAGAAAAAATCTTTCCAACACTGCTGCCCTAGCCTTAGCCCAGCGTCTCCTGTGTCACATTGGTGCTTCTCTCTCACGTGGCCCTTCTTTTTTCCTTGTTGTGTTAGTTTTATTTTATTCTCTGGAATATGATTATTCCGAGCCACTCTAAATTTGGGCACATTTTGAAGAATGAGTGAAATATTTTACATTTCATCTTAACAAAATTTTATAGTTGTCTGAGTGTAAAACTTAGAAAAGAAAGCTGGGCAAGCGAAAAACTTTGAAAAAACAATGATTAAAGTGTAGTATTTGATTCTAGCACTTTTTTTAGACTGAGAAACGTCATGTGCAGCTTTCAGATGCAATTTCCTTTTAAATTAGGAATCTAGCTGCTAATATAAGTCAGATATTTCTTTCACATTTTAATTATTGCGCTTACCTTTAAAAGTATGAAAGCGAATGTGCATTGCTAAGGTGAGCTTTCTGACATTTTATTTGCAGATGATGATGATGCTTGAACTGAACATTTAAGGTGAGATTTATTACCTCTGTAGTATGCTTCTCTTATTCAGATTCCTTATCGAATTTAACTGAATTGCTAACCGTAACCTTGGTGAAGATTGTTGCCTTTGGGCAGTCACTCCAAACTGGAGTATAAAAGACTTCACGTTACATTTTAAGGTAAGTTCTCAAAATAGCGTAGGATACCTTTATTCATTCAACTCATACTAAAGTTTCAAAGGATTTTACTGTTTTTAGAGAAGAAAAAGAACGCTTTTAACGTCTGTAAACTGAGTAAGGTTATATTAACGTGTAGATTACATGAAGCTAGCTTTTGTTAGTTGCTATTGGGAAATAAAATGGTTTGTAAAATTATTTGTATCACCATGTATGTTTATATGCAACTCTACAGTTAGAATCAGAGAGATGTTTGTGTGTATATTTGTTGTTTTAGCAAATGCCAACATACTCCCAAATAGGATATCTGAGAGGCCCCAAAATATAGATGGTAAATGTAAACATTGTCCCCTATTTCCTGATGTGTGTGTCTAGCAGTCCCCAGATTTTTTGATCAGAAAATTTGTTTGATCACAAACTAGGAAATCCCACATTATTATGAAAAAAGAACTATCAATGTGTCCTGATAAAATTAGAAATGACAAATCCCAGGGAATTTCTGAGAATTTGGTAGATGTGTGCAACTAGTCATCTGAGTGGAGGTTGTTAGATTGCATAATCTGGTTTATAATTTGATGTAAAGATTCTAACAATTCAATGCTGTACAATGAAACTTTGTGTCTGGTAAGGCAGTTAGAGGCCTGTTAAAATTCTGGGATAAACCATAGACTGGACTTTCGCACCTCTGTTACACCCTCATTACACAACATGTACCTTAAACGTGTGTGAAAGGAACGACCTTGGGTGGGGTTGCTGAGGAAGGTTCCCAGTGTTGGTGATGACCGTGCCGAAGGGTCCCAAGGGCCCAGCGGTGGGTTAAGCGAAGCAGGGTGGGCTCATTAGCACAAGGACAGCAGGGGCCCGCGTGGAGACAAGGGAGAGTGCACGAGCTGAGCAAGTGCAGGTGGATTTCAGTTCCATCCGGCTGCATTTCCGAATGGCTGGAGCTGAGAACGGGGAGCAGGGCCAAGTGTCTTGCCTTAGATGTTGGGCACAGAGTTGCATCTCGATCTACGGGAGAGTGTTAAAGGACGGGGCGTCCGACATGCCTTCCATGTGGCAGAATGGTTGGTGTGCTTTTTTGGTTTTGTTACTCCTTTTTCTATAAGTTTAAGTTGTTTAAGCAAAATTATAAAGAATTAAACAAAGGAACCGATTTACCAGATTGTTATCTATGTCAGAAAATTAAAAGGCTTGAGATTTTTTTACTTTCTTCTCTGATGTTAATTTACTCTGGGCATTGGGCAGGGTGATCCCTTGGCAGTCAAAAGTCTCCAAGAAGTATGCACCTTGATTGTCTCATACTTTTGCTGGCCAATTTAAATTGTATTTATTATAGTAATAATTACTATAGTAATTTAAAAAAGCCAGTAAGAGTTGGGGGCAATTTGCTACAGGTTTTACCAGCATAGTATGGTATGTAGTTAGAAATACGAAATTCTTGCACATTATAGGATGTGTTCAGTTACATTACACCAGGTCATATCTGCATTTAACTAGGAGATAGCCAGATGTTTACTGCAGTGATTTTGCGGATTCATCCCAGTCAGAATAACAGTTATTGTTCATGCCTCATTACCTCCCATTGAGGTGCACAGTGTCTACTTCCATGTTAAAGTTAACTCCCATTTTTGCTTTAGAGCTACACTCTCCAATACAGCTACTGGCTCTTTAAATATGGTCATTCAACTTAGTTAAAATTAAATAAAATTTAAAAATCAGTTCTTCACTCCCCTAGCCATTTGTCAAGTACTCAGTAGCCACACGTGGCTAGTGGCTGCCATATCAGACACTGTAGACAGGGGACATCTCCAACACTGCAGAAAGTTGTTAGTGCATCTCTAAAGGTTGTCGTTTTTTACCAGTCTTAACATACTTAAAGGCCACTTAATACTGAAATAGTTACAGATTAAGTGATACTATTTGATTTAAAATAACTGGGGAGAAGGGAGAATGGGGAGTTATGGAGGAAATACGATTTGGCACAAGGTGATAATTGCTGAAGCTAGGTTTAGGGTCCATGGGGTTTCATTATATTATTCTCATTATTCAGACATTTTGTGTATGCTTGAAATTTTCCATAACAAAAAATTGGGACAGAAGCTTAAGTAAGAATGGCACGTAGAAGCGGCCGTCTGTACATGGGCAACTGAAACCGCACCCGGACAGGCCGGTGCCTATAGTGCAGGAAAGCTTTTCCTCCTGCTGCAGGGTTTCCCTGAAGGGGTGTGCAGAGCACCGCATTTTTGCTTAAGATTTATTTCATTCCCCCTTGAAACACACAAGTAACAGCTCGTGTTTGTTAAGAGTTGGAACTGCCTAAATGAGTATCGTGAGTACAATGTGCTATATTACGATATTCTGTCAAAAATTCTGCTGGCATTAATTTCAGCAAACTGAAAATAGTGTTCCTGATGAAGAGAACAGAGTCCATTTACTCAGTGGTTGGCTTTTGTTTACTGCCAGATCACTCAGCTTCTGGTTCTGGTTTCCCGGTTACTAGCTACTATGGTGACAGCATTGGAAGAAAGAATGCGGGGGTTGTCAAGTAAACCCCTGGCAGGAGAGGAAAGCCATCAGTGAACACCTCACTGTGTCACCAAAGGGTTGTTTGAAGTTGTTACAGAGACTTGCCTACTTGGTCTCCTACAGCATCTCTAACAAATGGTGGCAGGGCTTATTGTAAGTAGAGAGGAACGGTTCAGGGTAAGATATCTGGGGTGTGACTTGGCCTTGAGTGCCAGCTTCAGCCAGCTGAGACCCAGACAGGGGAAAGAGCGAGCCCTCCCCCGCTGGTGTAGGGAGTAATGGCAGGGTAGTGCCTGGCGTGTGGTCGAGTGCTCCGCAAATGAAAGCTTGTGCTGCTAGGTACTGCCTGTGCAGAAACGAACTGGGACTCTGTGCTTTATTTCCCTAAAATGGTGATATTCACAGAATCGCGCACTGTGCAGGCCTAAAGGAATATAATGGTCCCTTTTTATTTTACAGAGGTCTGAAGTCAAAGATCGTGAGATTAATAATGGCAGGAAAATCATCACTTTTTAAAGTAATTCTCCTTGGAGATGGTGGAGTTGGGAAGAGTTCTCTGATGAACAGATATGTGACTAACAAGTTTGATACCCAGCTCTTCCATACAATAGGTGTGGAGTTTTTAAATAAAGATTTGGAGGTAGATGGACATTTCGTTACCATGCAGATTTGGGACACGGCCGGGCAAGAGCGATTCAGAAGCCTGAGGACACCATTTTACAGAGGTTCCGACTGTTGCCTGCTCACTTTTAGTGTCGATGATTCTCAAAGCTTCCAGAACCTGAATAACTGGAAGAAAGAGTTCATATATTACGCAGATGTAAAAGAGCCCGAAAGCTTTCCTTTTGTGATTTTGGGCAACAAGGTCGACATAAGTGAACGGCAGGTGTCTGCAGAAGAAGCCCGAGCCTGGTGCAGGGACAACGGCGACTGCCCTTACTTTGAAACCAGTGCAAAAGATGCCACGAATGTCGCAGCGGCTTTTGAGGAAGCGGTTCGAAGAGTGCTTGCGACGGAGGACAGGTCAGATCACTTGATTCAGACAGACACAGTCAGTCTGCACCACAAGCCCAGGCCGAGCTCATCTTGCTGTTGATCATTAAAGAGGTTGCCCACGTTCTAACCAACTCACGCATATACGCAAACAAACAGGGTGGAGGAGGCTGAGCGTTTGCATCAATGGATCATCTACTCACAAAGTTAAACCAGCCATACTGCTGTTTCATTAGTGGGTAGGAGGGGGCACACATCCACTCATGGAACAACCTATTTACTCAGTAATGGCACCTTACATTTATAAATTGCAACCGTTGTCTAATAATGTTTAATTTAAATACGTAAGTTACAGAGCTAATAAGTGAGATGACCGGGACTTTCATTATGATTAAAACAAAACACTCAAATATTCTAGAAGTTATTGTTTTTTTTTTTCCTGGGAAAATGGACAACTACTTTTTGTATGTGTGTATTTTTATGTAATTAGCATTTTATTCTTGGTTTGGGGGAAAATTTCCTAAAGCAATAATGTTAGATATTAAAGATTAAAATCTAATGCATTTGCACTGCAGTCATTTGATTACTTCTTTGTTCTCTTTAAAGTTCCTGTGTTCACGTTTTCATTCCACATACAAGAAGTGATCTAAGGAGTAGTCACTCGTCATTTATGTGCCACACGTTCATGACCGCCCCCAACCCAGAAGTCAGCTTTATATTCTTAGAGGAAATGCTAAGGATTGTATAATGTGTGAGGGTAAATGAAGACGTCTTTATTTGATCGTGCATTTATTTAGTGTCTTCTCTTTACTAAACATTGCTTAGTGATTTGCTCTCAAGATTTTTCATCATCTTGCTGCAGTGACCAGACTTACTGATAAAGTGAATTGTGGTCTTTTATGGGTAAAAGTCATGTGTTGTACCTTTCATGCTGATTCCATACTACAGAGGCAAACCAGTGCCTAGACCTCGTGTTAGTGAAGACAGAATGCTCAGCTGTGCAGTGGGGGCTGTCCTGCAGGGTCAGAGGTACATTTTGAAAAACAAAATATATTTCTATCCCTGGCCCCACTCGGGAACCACTGAAAAAGAGTATCATAACAGTGAGCTAAGCTTTTGAAAGTCTAGTTTCCTAATATAACAGACAATTTGGCTATAAGCAAAACATTTTAATATTTTTAATTTGGGAGAATTAAATTTCTTCATATTCTCAGGTTAGAGCTCTAGTTTTTATTATTTATAATCCCCCCCCTGCAAAAAAAACCCTAATCCTCCATCTAAAAAAACAAAATAGGAATTCACTGTTCACAAGTTGGTATAATATATTCTTCCTTTTGGTTTTTCTCAAGGGGACTTGCTTTGTTTTTAAAATAAAAAATGCACTCTTTGCTTTGCGACTTGCTTTTTTCTCTTAATATAGCATGCCCCCTCTATCCCCACACTAGTCTGTGTCCAAATGTCCTCTTTTATAAGGACACCAGTCAGATTAGATTGGGACCCACCATAAAGGGCTCGTCTTAGAGGCCTCTTTAAAGGCCCTATCTTCCAATACAGTCACATTCTGAGGAACTTGGGGCTAGGACTTCCAACATATGAAGGCGGGGCACAGTTCAGCTCAACACGTGTGTGTAGGTATTTACAAAGTGTAATTCTGATACTTGTGTAGATTTAACTAATTAGTGGTTTTTAAACACTTTTAAGCATCTTTTCAAGTAATGTATTTTCAGCTAAATATTTAAGGATTTGATTAGTTGGCATTCGGGAGGTCTAGAGCTGGGCGGCAAAAATGATCAAGGCAACAGATCTTCACCTTCGCAAAGACGAGCTGATGGAAGGTTGAGTAAGCCACCTTCACGGTGACTTAGAGGGATCCAGGGAACGGGAGCTAACTGACCAAACACGGTACTGGAATGTGATAACTAAGAGGAACGAAACCTGACTGAATAGCTTCAGCCTTTAAATAAACAATGTATGATGGAAAAGCTCTTCAACCAGCAGCAGAAGGTAGCTGGGAACTTGATTCTTCTGAAAAAAGTTAAAGGTATTTTAATTGGCCCGTGTTATCTATACAAAACAGAAATAGGGAAAAATGAGAGTTGGGGGAGAAAAGCAGTTGGTGGCCGGAGTGGTGGAAGCAACTGCAGAGCCCCAGGGAAGCAAGCAGAGAGGTGTGCAGCTTGCTTCCTGGTGTGGAGCTTGCTCCCCAGTTCGGGGAGGAGAGGGGCCTGTCTCAGTACTGTTGCCACCTGGCGTCGGACCATCTCTTTGACTTTGCTTCCTTGCTGTCTGAATGTGAAGCCTTTGAGACAGTTCAGTGTTAAGGAAAACTACTGGCCTCAGAACGGACACATGAACATTTGACAGCCAGTAAAGCAATTATAATACGCTGTGTGGATGATGGAAAAGTAGAATTCCATCAATGGATTAATTAAAGTTTTTGTCACCTTCACCCTTGTGAAAATTCCCTAGTTGAAGCTAAAACATCCTAGATATTCTTAAAACTTTTACATTTCTCTAAAAACTTGTGTAAGCTTTCACTCTGATATGACACCAACACCAGTTCTCATGATACCAGTGGCTGTGGGGCAGTGACGTGTTAAGTAGAAAAATGTACCTGTGTACAGTCGGTAGATTCTGAGAAGTCACCACTGTGGACTGTCAACCAGGAAATGCTGATGTGACCGAAAAGGTCACGTGTAGCACAAGCAGAGACTGATGGTCTCTACATAAAATGCAAAGGGGGCCACAATGAAGCATCCTAGGAAATGAAAGGACAACACCAGATTTGTGCATTTTGTTTGGATTTCTTTGGGACTGCATGATACAAATTTACTGCTGAGATACCTGTGCTCAGTGGAGCCTGATGCCCAGGGAGCTACCAATGTCCCTCCATACTCCTGTGTTGAAATGAACTTTCAACGATGTCACCTGCCAGATCTGCCCCTTGCTAGCTCTTCAGCTTCCTTGTCAGCCTGTGGTCTTCCCCTTATACCAGTCCTGGTCCTGTCCTCTCAGGTATCCAACCCACGTGCCAGTGCAGCTTTCCTCCACACCTGCGTGCCCGGCACGCTGTCCCCACAGCCCACCTGCTCCAACACACGCTCATTGTTGGACTTGCCTTCGAGCTCCTTCAAAGATGCAGTCACACATGAGATCTGGTACTTAGCTACAGTAACATACTCACGGGGCTATTACCTGTTCCTGTCTCACCCTCACAAGCCTGGAGAAAAGGACCGCTGTTGCCAGGGCACCACTGTCGTGTGGCTGGGCCGGGGCCCAAACCGTCTCCACCCTACAGCTTCTTTTTTTTGTCACAGCCATGCGTTATACGGTCACTGAGGGCAGAGCAAACTATACAAAATGAATACATGTTTGGGTCTTCCCAATGAGCATGGCTGAAATTACTCCTAGATCTCTAGCTATCTTTTTCTGCTCCCTAGTTTTGAGGTGATCTGAATAACTTTAGTTACTTTAAAGGTATAGTTTGTAGGCTTTCAATGGGGCAAACAACCAGAACGGTGGTGGCAGGCTGGGTGGGCAGCACTTTAAAAATTTGATATTAAACTCCCACAATCTTGGACAAACAACTTTATTTAAGAAGTCAAATAAATAGATGGGGTAAAAAATCATGGTAGCAACTTCATACACAGATATAAGACCAAACTTGGAATTACTTACTCGATTTATTCAGAATGGAACAAAATTCTTCAAGTGTTCACAATTAGCGCAGAAAATGTCTGGTTATATTACTTTTCAATCGACATTTACTCGTTTACAGTAAGATCCCACACTTGTGACATTTACAGTACAGGAGACCATGCCCACCCTTCTGTGTACAGCCTACTAGGCTGAGTGCAAATGTTAATGTAATGCAGGCTTGGCTTTGTTCACAGCTCTAAAACTGCCTTACAACTCTTCACTAGTACAGATATCAGCAGGTTCATTTCATCTTGAGTATACCATCTGAGGGAAAGGAAATAAAACATCATCTGTCACTTTGGTCCCAATGCCCCATTTTATAAACACAGATCCAGGATTCCAGAATGACGGCCGGATCTCTGTTCTCAGTCTCTGATGGGCAGCCACGTGCATTTGGCACTACTAAAGCTGTTTGCTTCGGCTTCTTGGGTAGCACTCTGTATACTGCCTATACACTTTATAACATCCCTAGATGCAGAGATAAGCCCATGTACGTGCTATCGACTTCATTCCCCATTGCAGACGCTTTTTGTTTTAAATCTATCAATTCTTGACAATATTTGGTTCTGGATTGTTACATCAGGATCAATCAACCTATCTGATGAAGAAAGTCAAAAGCTTATTCTCAATTTTTAAAATATAAGTATTTCATGATTACCGGTAAAGAGCTCTTTATAAATAATACTGTTCATAATCAAATATTGATGTTAATAATTCTAAGAATTGAATGGACTATTTTTAAATATAAAAGGAATTTCATTCGGTTTAGATAAATTGAGACTACAAGTAAAACTTTTCCAGGCTATTTAATCAAGTAACTTACAATGTACACATTCCTGAGTATACTCCGTTGTAGTGACATTGTTTATTTCCGAATTTTTCTGCATTCAGCTTAAAAGGTGTTTCTTCCCAAGAAACTGTACTTTTCTGTCAAACGCGCTTGATCGAATAGGAGAATTGGGTTCATAAAATGGATTCATTGCAAACTAGGAAAGAAGAAGGTATTAGTGAGTTTGTCAAAAAGGCTGACAAATCATAGGTCTCTAACAGGAAATTATTTTAAAGATTTAAATTAAATCAGACATTCAAAAAAAAGTCTGACGACCACATTTTTAATTTTCAACACAAATGTTCCATTGTTAAATAGTTAACCTCCCCTTAAGGAAATTTTTGTCTTGGTGTTTTAGTTTTAAGTACCTGTGGCAAACTGATGGTGGTTTACGTGCTGCCTCTGTACATGAAATTAACTTTCAGGATTCACCCTGGTGTGAAATACTAACCTACTTACACTCATTATAAATGGATTAATCTGTAAGACACTTTGGCTACCTAAAAAAAACCAAAATCTGCCATATGTTCAAGAGTTAAGAAAAAGTTATACCACACTGATATTATTGCCCTTGTGTGGTAATTATTTAACAATCAGGTTTTTAATACTCTTTAACACAAGGTTGGTTAACTGATCAGTTTCTCAGATAACATGAGCGTGTCATAATGTGGTAGAGAAAATTATTAATAAGTGGAATCACTAATGAGGAAAAAAGTTACCATTTATACCTTAATTACTTTCTCCCTTTTTATAAGGCTAGTCTTACTTGCTACTTCTAAGTAGGAAGATTGTTAGCTCTGCTGATATGCAAAAATCTCGTCCAAATACAGAACATTTCAATTATTAACACACTGTTGTTAGCACTGCAGATTAACCACTGGTTTCCTATTACTATTTTACTTTTTACCGTTAAGTATCAAGAAATGCATTAACATCATTCTCCTTGGGTGACTATTTGGTAGCGTATGAATCACTTCCTGCTGGTTTATGATCTATATTCACTGCACTGTAACTTATTTACAAAGTAGATGGGAAACATTTTAGATTAAAATTATGAAGCAATTTCCCTGATGTAGACTGCCTCCCTCTCTTTAGGGTTCCCTACTAAAATCAACTGTATGCACCCAAAGGGGGAGAAGAACGGAATTGATTTAAAAATAACCATTGTGAGTTGTTCTCTTAAACACGTTAACCTGGTGGTGAAGACTTGTCAGATGAGGGAACTGCCGGGGGTAGTTCTGACCGGAGGAGAGCCAGTCTGAGATGATAACAGCAGTATGAGGGAGTTACCTTAATACGCCAGTTCCCTGTCAAAGTTCGAATCCTTTTTGATAATCAGATTTAAAAAGTTATAGAACATACCATACCTTTATGTATAAATCATAGACATCAGTAAAGAAGTTCTTTATTCCATCTTCTTGCCTTATGTCATGAAGCATAATAAATCTCATATGTGAAATAATTAAGGTTTAATCTTTCTTAGAAATGAAAAATGAAAAGCAATTGGTTGATACAGTATTCTTCAGATTAGTCACATGCGGTGTATTTTGTGATGGAAAAGTTGAATACATAAACTGGGTTCAAAATTAGGTTAGTTTTGTCTTAAAAAGAACAATCTTTTTAAGTTAGAAAATAACTACAAAATCTAAAATCCTTGATATGGTTCAAATAAACCTTAGTTTTATATATGAGACTTGGTTTTAAAATTACCTATTAAACAAAATGTATTTTTCCCCCTAAAAAAATAAAAGTAGCCCTATAAATGGCAATTTTTACTTGACACTTTGAGATCCACAGACTCAGAGCCTGAAATGTGTCCCATGTTCTAGTTTGTTACCCCAACCTGTAGATATCTTTATTAAAAAGGTAAGGATATGACCGGCAGTAACAAATGCTGAAACAAACCACTCATTGAACTTATCCACAGTTTTCAAGTACATGTTGTTTGATAGCCACATATTCTCATCTACGAGGTCGAGGGCGGCGTGAGCTATGAACTGGTTCAGATGACGATGATCGTCCTAGGTGACAGTGTAAGCAGCAAAAGGTTAACATTTCCATAAGCGTCAAGAAAGCCAACATTTCGTTCTGTAAATTCTATAGTTTTTCTTGGGGGTGGGGGGTTGGCGGGGGTGGTAAGACTCCCTGCTTGCTCTTTGCTAATTGTCATGAGACTTATAAAAGATCCTCAGTGTTTTCACATCGTATTCTATTTTAAAATTTGGTGTCGAAAACACAACAAATAGAAACACCCAATTATATTAATTCTATTATAATATTAATGAAATGTGTTCAAGAAATTATATAATTTTTTAAAATTTTGCATGAAATTCTGTAACCATTTAAGTGTGTGAAGAAAGAATACTATATTAGGGGAAAAAAAAGTAGACCCTCCTTTTAAGAAACTTGTATTTTTTTAGAGGAAGACAGGAAAAAATACCTAAGTGGTTACAGATAAAGGACAGCAATTTAGGTAAGCTGGGGTTTAGGAGCTACAGAGAGCTGCTGTTGGCACAGGCCTCAAGGTGGGGGTGGTTTGTGCACGGTCACACCTCGTGAGCATTGGAGACAGTTGAGTAGTAAGTGGCACTCCTAAAGGCTTGGCATAGGCCTCTTTCAGGGATAAGGAGCTTACGTGGCAGGGGGGCCTGAGACTGACAGGAGACCAGCTGTTTGCAGTCACCTCTCAGCAGGAGACAGTCCTGTCAGAGCTGGAAGTGTCCTTTTCATGGGCTGAAATGGTTTAACTGGAGAAGGTGGGACTGTCTCAGCCTGGAATGCAGTCTTACTCCTGTGGAGTTCTTACTTTTAACATGCAGTTTTCGAAGAACACCTCTGTTCTGGGGTGAACTGTAGCTTCCCCGCTAAATTCTCATGGTGAAGTCCTAGCCCCCGGCACCTTGGAATGCGGCTTTACTTGGAGAGAGGGTTGTTGCAGATGTGAATAGTTAACACGATGTCATGCTAGTGTAGAGTGCGCTCCAATCCAGTATGAGTGGTGTATTTATAAAAAGGGGAAATGTGGACACAGACACACCCAGGGAGAACGCCACGTGAGGATGGGAGTGCTACTGTCACAAGCCAGGAAACCACCAGAAGCTAGGAGAGGCCTAGACGGGTCCTTCTCTAGAGCCTTCGAGGGGCACGGCCCCGCCAACACCTTGGTCTCGGACTTCTGGCCTCCAGACTGGGAGGCAATACATTTCTGTTGTTCGGAGCCCCCGCAGTTTGTGGTACTTGTTACGGCCGCCACAGGAAACTAGAACCACCTCTGTTACTAGGTTGGAGGAAGGCTGCCAGTTGCTTTGGAACCCCTTGCACAGGTAAAGCACGTCACTTTTCCCCTGCTGCCAGGATGTACCTAATTTAATCATTAGAAAAATGAACGTATTTTGTGTCTAGCTTACAGCAGCATTTTCCATTACTTTATGTTGATGATTGATATTGAGAGGAAGCATAATAAATCTCATATGTGAAATAATTAAGGTTTAATCTTTCTTAGAAATGAAAAATGAAAAGCAATTGGTTGATACAGTATTCTTCAGATTAGTCACATGCGGTGTATTTTGTGATGGCAAAGTTGAATACATAAACTGGGTTCAAAATTAGGTTAGTTTTGTCTTAAAAAGAACAATCTTTTTAAGTTAGAAAATAACTACAAAATCTAAAATCCTTGATATGGTTCAAATAAACCTTAGTTTTATATATGAGACTTGGTTTTAAAATTACCTATTAAACAAAATGTATTTTTCCCCCTAAAAAAATAAAAGTAGCCCTATAAATGGCAATTTTTACTTGACACTTTGAGATCCACAGACTCAGAGCCTGAAATGTGTCCCATGTTCTAGTTTGTTACCCCAACCTGTAGATATCTTTATTAAAAAGGTAAGGATATGACCGGCAGTAACAAATGCTGAAACAAACCACTCATTGAACTTATCCACAGTTTTCAAGTACATGTTGTTTGATAGCCACATATTCTCATCTACGAGGTCGAGGGCGGCGTGAGCTATGAACTGGTTCAGATGACGATGATCGTCCTAGGTGACAGTGTAAGCAGCAAAAGGTTAACATTTCCATAAGCGTCAAGAAAGCCAACATTTCGTTCTGTAAATTCTATAGTTTTTCTTGGGGGTGGGGGGTTGGCGGGGGTGGTAAGACTCCCTGCTTGCTCTTTGCTAATTGTCATGAGACTTATAAAAGATCCTCAGTGTTTTCACATCGTATTCTATTTTAAAATTTGGTGTCGAAAACACAACAAATAGAAACACCCAATTATATTAATTCTATTATAATATTAATGAAATGTGTTCAAGAAATTATATAATTTTTTAAAATTTTGCATGAAATTCTGTAACCATTTAAGTGTGTGAAGAAAGAATACTATATTAGGGGAAAAAAAAGTAGACCCTCCTTTTAAGAAACTTGTATTTTTTTAGAGGAAGACAGGAAAAAATACCTAAGTGGTTACAGATAAAGGACAGCAATTTAGGTAAGCTGGGGTTTAGGAGCTACAGAGAGCTGCTGTTGGCACAGGCCTCAAGGTGGGGGTGGTTTGTGCACGGTCACACCTCGTGAGCATTGGAGACAGTTGAGTAGTAAGTGGCACTCCTAAAGGCTTGGCATAGGCCTCTTTCAGGGATAAGGAGCTTACGTGGCAGGGGGGCCTGAGACTGACAGGAGACCAGCTGTTTGCAGTCACCTCTCAGCAGGAGACAGTCCTGTCAGAGCTGGAAGTGTCCTTTTCATGGGCTGAAATGGTTTAACTGGAGAAGGTGGGACTGTCTCAGCCTGGAATGCAGTCTTACTCCTGTGGAGTTCTTACTTTTAACATGCAGTTTTCGAAGAACACCTCTGTTCTGGGGTGAACTGTAGCTTCCCCGCTAAATTCTCATGGTGAAGTCCTAGCCCCCGGCACCTTGGAATGCGGCTTTACTTGGAGAGAGGGTTGTTGCAGATGTGAATAGTTAACACGATGTCATGCTAGTGTAGAGTGCGCTCCAATCCAGTATGAGTGGTGTATTTATAAAAAGGGGAAATGTGGACACAGACACACCCAGGGAGAACGCCACGTGAGGATGGGAGTGCTACTGTCACAAGCCAGGAAACCACCAGAAGCTAGGAGAGGCCTAGACGGGTCCTTCTCTAGAGCCTTCGAGGGGCACGGCCCCGCCAACACCTTGGTCTCGGACTTCTGGCCTCCAGACTGGGAGGCAATACATTTCTGTTGTTCTGAGCCCCCCAGTTTGTGGTACTTGTTACGGCTGCCACAGGAAACTAGAACCACCTCCGTGATTGGGCTGAAGGAAGGCTGCCAGTTGCCTTGGAACGCCTTGCACAGCTAAAGCATGTCGCTTTTCTCCTGCTGCCAGGACGTACCTAATTTAATCGTTAGAAAAATGGATGTATTTTGTGTCTAGCTCACAGCAGCATTTTGCATTACTCTACACTGATGATAGAACTTGAGTGATGAGGAGTAAACTGTAGAAATGCTTTAAGAAAGTAAGTGGTAGAAGGAGAAAGAACTAAGATCAAATCATGAGACAACGTATTTTATATGCACTGCTTTGCCTACCACTAGGCCACTGGAGTGCACAGGAACTATGTGTAACTCTGTTACACACAGTTTAACTGCTGCTACGGATGCCTCAAACCAAAGATTTAATGAGCAGTGTCACCCAGAAACATGAGAAAATAACGTAGCAATCACATCTGGTAAGATAATCCCTTAAATTTCTACCATATTTTAGTGGCAAGATCTGAACCGTTGAAAAGCATCATACACTAGACTGGACATTATGCATTATAATTAATTTTGAAAACCAATTCCTGTCTTAAAGGACACGAAAGCTTATTTTTGGAGATGGGGAGAAACACAGCATAACTTGTCGGCAATCCGGAACAGGACTAGCCCAGAAAGACGGAAGGGACCCAGCTACTCTCAAGTCTGCGGCTCTGTTTACTCTGAAAGCAACATGTTCGAACCAAGCTTGTTTTTTTGGAACCATTCCTGACAACAGGAAGTTGGGTGAGTCACTGGGGAGGAAAGCACGTGGGCACCACCCAGCCAGTAGGCGATGTGGGGAGGACACTGTAAACTGTCGTAGTCTCAAGGGCAGCAGGAGGACACGTCAGTAAGGGTTTCTTTTAATCCTCCTAGGTGTAAATGGTTCTACTACGTATGTCCTGATGAAAAGGGTGACTCGCTGGGACAGAATGGGTTTTCAGGGCATTTCGAGGCAGCAGTGACTGTTCTCCCAGACCCACTACGGGTGGACCATGTTTCTATGTGCTTAGGGAGTAGCTTTCATAGAGGGTGGCACAGTGAACTGAAGACCAGGGAAAAGAGACCCAGAGCATCCTGTTAGTGCGTGCTAAGTGTGTGCTGAATTCAAGGATGAAGAAACGATTCAGAGGACGTTCCCTGGCTGGCTTCCATCAACCTGAGACTGCAGAGCAAGCCTCGGTCAACTGTGGTGGATTCATTCCAGTTACCCCATCTGTTTAGATCTCTTCCAGTTCTAAAATCGTATTACACCATTATCATTACAACAGCATAATGATTCTTAGGACATTTTTAAAGGTTACATACGTACTTTGGATTCTGCTTTTCCAGCTGGCAAAAACTCCATTTCAAAAACTGGATTATCATGATGGCCAACAATTACAAAGTAGAAGCTTCCAGACATTGTCTTCAATATACAACTCCTAATTAAATGAAAACAATACATATTTTTAGTACTCACAACTGAAAACCAAAAATTGTTAACCAGAAGTCTAGAATTCAATTTTTTGCTTAAATCTGACATGGGAGAGGAGAAGGCCACTAAGCCTGGCCTGCTTCCAGTATACTACCATGGATATACGGCTTTTGGACTATACAAATTATATAACTGTGATTTGTCCTGTAGAACCCAGTACCATGTTTTCATAGGGAAAGTGGAAGACCTCTAATATGAAATCATAAAAAACAACATTCTCATGATCTGAAAGTCTGGAACATTTAGAGTAAGCTGGGCTATCCTTGGGCTGGAGCAGTTAGCATTAGCACTAACACCTGAAAACATTACTAAAGGCTGCTGATTAGGAAATAATTGGCTTGCCTTCGACATTTTCAGGAGAGATGGTGCTGAGGAAGATAAAAACAGTGCTACCTCATGTCATTTACACAAAGGAGAGCTACTATAGCACTTATCTACAGACTCTGGAGTTTTTATCTTCTTCCTGATGCATGTATGCTACAAATGTATGCCTGCAAATAAAAGAATGTATGACATACCTCTTCAAACACCATGTATGAGAAAGGAGGAAAGGTTCTGTATTCTAGAAAAGATGGAAGAAATCATAACCAGAGAGAAAACATTCTGAGGCATTAAGAGATCTTAGAACTAGGGTGAATAGGTTTGTTAAAAAAGTGAAACTAAGAGAAAGTGTGTGTGGAGGGGACCAGTGATTCTGTGGTTTTCAGCACACACAAAATCCGGATGGACGGACAGATGGATGGACGGATAGATTTACGTATGTATTTTCAGCACAGGGTGTTTGTAATCAGACAAAGCTAGGTTCAAGTCTTGGTCTGCCACCTCCTAGCAATGTGACCACCCAAGGGTCCTTAATCTCCCACCCCCATGTGTTTCCTTCTCGGTGGAACAGAGATAAGAAGTGAGGTAATGGTCGCAGCTCCCTTAGGGCGAGCTTGAGGGTTATACAACCCGATGCACAGAAAGAACCCAGCAGGGTCTGGCTCATAGGAGGTGCTCAGGAAATGTTATCTAGAACAATATGGAAGAACATGTACGCACGGAGATGTGGTGACCGGGAAGGTCTCCCCATGGGGCAGGAGTCTGGTTAACTGGGAATGTACAGTCTCGGGGATGCACAGCTGAGGTGGGCCAGGGCGCACTGAGCCTCACGGGATTCTGCTGACTCAACAGAACATGCAGCAAAATCTGAGGAGAACTGAACTGTATTTCCTAATGAATACAACACGCTGTAAAGGAAATCAGGGCACAGCTGACACTTTTAACCCTGGAACTGGAAGGCTGTGTCTGGAAGAAAAGGCAGACAGGAGGCTGGTAAGATGATGTAAGTAGGATTTACAATGTTATTTGGCGCAGGGGTCGCCGAATCTGGCCTCACCCGTCCTTTTATCATCATTTAAGGCTGCGTTTGCCCTACAGTGGCAGAGCTGAGTTGTGAC